TACTACTACTACTCTCTACTCTCTCTCTCTCTCTCTCTCTCTCTCTCTCTCTCTCTCTCTCTCTCTCTCTCTCTCTCTCTCTCTCTCTCTCTCTCTCTATGAATTTTTGCTTTTTGAGTCCAAAAACTGTTACCATTTCATACAGTGTTAAAAAATTTGGCCACCTAGTTTGAGGGGCCCTAAATAACCTGGACGTCCCAATGCAGGACAGGTTGCCTCTTATTTTTCAATTTTCTTATTAAAATTTACAAATGTATTTTAGGGTTCATTTAGTCTTTTAGGGATTTTAGTTCAGCATTTAGGATTTTTAAGGATGTTTAGAAAAGTAGCAAGAGTCCTCATATAATTACCTAAATTATCAAGGGTAAAAATGTTATTATAAAACTTATTTTAATTAGGAGTTCTATTTCAATTAGAATTAGGATTTCTTGAGTTTATTATAAATGGGAGTCGTATTAGGGTTTTCCTTTCTTTGGATGATATTCGTTAAGAATTTCTTGGTTAAACTAGAGATAGCTAAGAAGATTGCCATGTAATCTTCCACCATTATTTGCAATCAACTTTTCAGTTTGTTGATTTCTTTTTGTAAATTCATCACTACATTAGATCTTCGATTTCTTTATTCCTGTAATTTTTTTTACCCGTTGCATTAGTTGGTATCAGAGCAGGTCGTCTCCCAAAGCATCCCAAAATCCACTGTGAGTTTGTGCAATGTCTGCTAGAGGAAGTTGATTTTGTGGTCATAGGGATAACAAAGTCACATGGGAGCAATTCAGTGATCTAAAGTTAACATATGAGATACATCAAAAACTTTTGAATTGAATGTAGTTCAAGGAAATGGTCCATGACGTGTACCCAAACCGCCCTACATGGTGTATGATAATTTGTGAAATTAATGGATCCAAGTCCAATCATAGTAGTGGATCCGGTTCAGCGGATAATTCAACTCACAAGTAGGGGTGAGGTAATCTCGCTGCTTGTGAGGACAGTTTGGCCTGTGAACTTGAGGAAGCTGATTATAGAGAACCTTTATTTTTTTGGAATGAGTTAATTGTCCTATTGAATAGAAAAGGAGGTAATACAAGTTGCCAAAAAATAGGCTCCCCACAAGCCAGGAGCTCTATACAAAAACAAATCTTAAAGAGAAGCAGGAGGTTTATACAAAAAGAGAAAAGGCTTGCCCACTAGGATGCAGCCCTCTACAACATTCACCGAGAGGGTGAGAACGAGAGAAAAGGATAAAAAAGATGCACCCTGCCTTGTAGAAAGCTAGTAGAAGAAAGAAAGGGTGCTACAAAACTCATGTTCTGGTGTTGAATGCTCCTTTCTTAATGAGGATGTCGGCTGCTATGTTGGCCTCGTACGACCATAGGCTTACAATGTGAGTAATCTTGTAAAAAATTTGAGCTGGGATCCATGGGTAGGGAGAAGCCCAGCGAATGACGTTCTTGGAGTTACCCTTGACAATTAAATTTGACCTCCACTGGGGATTGAAGCTCTCAAGCCTCTCGAGAAGGGCTAAAGCCTCAGCCGTCTGAGAATCCGAATGGCCTATGTGTTTGGAGAAAGAAACTAGGATGTGATGCTCGTGGTTTCTGATTAGACCTTCAATGCCTGAGGAACTAGGGTTGCCATGGGAACAATCGTCAAAATTAAACTTCGTCTGGCCTGGTTGAGGTTGTCTCCACGAAGAGGCCCAAGGAATGTGGTTTTGCCTTAAGATTGGCAAAGCTTGTCAATCTCGAACAAAAGAATAGTAGGGGACTCCCTTAAAGCTTTTGTGGTTAGTCGCCCAAAAATTGACCCTTGGATTTAACTGTCAAAAAATGGTAGGTCTGGACCTTTCCCCACGAAAGGTCCATTGTTTCTTTTGGTCTAGATGACCCAAAGAGTAGCTGCCACCAAGCCTTCCATAGAAGGATGCCAGCATTGGGCCAGGGGAAGGGCTGAAGGGATATGAAAAGAAGTGGGAACGACTTGGTGGTAAACCATTGCCACCTGAACATATGGAGGATGGCACCCCATAATTCCAGGGCTAGGGGCAACGGATAAAGAGATGAGAGTTGGATTCCTCATCGGCTGTGTGCATCACACATCTAATGGGGATGGGTAAACCAGTCTTTGGAGCTGGTCCACCATGAGGACTCTTTCAGACAGGGCTATCCAATAAACACTTGAATTTTAGGGGGAGCACTGGAGGACCAGGCTTGAGCAATAATGGAGGTGGGAGAAATGGAAACAGTGAGCAGTTGTAGAAGCATGTGGTAGAAAGAGGAGACTGAGAAGACTCCCGAGGGAGAAGGGCACTAGATGATGAGGTCTGAACCCTGGCGGGCAAGGAAAGTGGTATGAAGGAGGGAGGAGAGGTTGAGGAAGTTTGATTCCTCTGAATCAGTTAAAGGTCTCTAGAAGGTGGGGTTCCACACACGAGATGAACCTGAAAAAGGTATTTCATTGGCCACAAAAGTGAGGCAATTATGTACAGCACATAAAGGGAACCTTTATTTTCATTGAGTTGTTTCCAAAATCTGCAAGTTGTAAATTGGGACTCACGACCAATCTTCGACATGTGTTCAGAAGAGGTTTTGGATATCATGGAAAGTACATGTGATGGCTATGATGGAGATAAAGAAGAAGGCAAGCCGATCTCTGAGGGCCCTCTGTTTGATGAAGGGCAAGACCTTGACGATGGAGCCCAAGTTAGGGACTCTCTAATCAGGCAGGCACCAAGGAGTGAGGTTAGTGATTGTATGGCTTCTCATGAATCACGAGGCCCATGTAACTGAGAGACGAATAGATATTGACCATGACTGTGATGAAATGAGAACGATTCAGGCACCAGATTGCATGACGCAGATATTGGTTTTAGAGTTTTATTAGAACTCTTAAAGTTGTAGAGTTTTAAGGTAAGAAAGAAGTTCTAGGAAAGATGGACAATGCAGAGAGGAGAATTCTAACGGAATTAGAATTCCATAAGCTAGAGAAAGATAAAGATGGTGATCGAGCTCTATGGAATCATGAAATCTCAAGACGTTATGCTAGTGAGGACGGTGCCTACCCAGTGGTTGATGATATTTCCATTGATATTGAGATTCAGGTGAAAAGAAGAGGTGATTTTGAATAGGGATGACAATGGGCTGGGCTGTCCAGCCCAGCTTGGTCAATCAAGCCCTGGAAAACTAGGGCGTGGGCCACAAAATATGGCCAAAGGGATGGACCTGGTCCAAGCCACCACAACAGGAGGGAGAATAGTAAAAATTGAGCTTGAGCAGAGATGGCCCTAGAGGCACTGTATTTTTTAGGCCCAGCCCATCCTAATCGTGACCAGACCTGGGCCAAGGCCCCTTCAGCCTGATTCGGACCAAACTCGGGTAAATGGCAAGCCCAGCCTAGGCTGGCACCTTGCCAGCCCGCCTACGCTGGCACATTGCCAGCCCTAATTTTGAGCAATTTCACTAGAGAAAACCTTTAAAGGCTTTCCAATGTGATTTTCAATGTGAGTTTACGTACAATTGAATTTCATAAATTTGTATCAATTCCTCATTATACATATTAAGGTCCATTGCTTGATGATTTTTTCCATCTAGCCATAACCCACAAGTCCCAGGATCATGTGTGCAATGTCCGTTTTGAAGACGACCATACATTTGATGGAGGATACATCATAGACACTTACAAAACTCAAGGATGAGTTTCTCCAACCAAGAGAGACTAATGTAGGACAAGATGCCTCTTATTTTACAATTTTTCTATTAAATTTTAGAGAAGTACTTTTAGGGTTTTCTAAGTCTTTTAGGAATTTCTGAGTTTTTTAAATATTTAATATTTTTAAGGCTGTTTGGAGAACTAGTAAGAGTCGTTATAGAATTACCAATTTTATCAGGGGTAACAATA